ATTGTCTTTTGGGGGGCTGAAATTGTAATAAAGAAAAAAGATCCAATTGAGGGATAATCTCAAGAAGCACCTCTAAGGTTGTTGAAACTCTAGAGTATAGACAAGTTTCAATCTTACATCACAACCCACCCTCTTTTCAAATGAATAATTCTAAAGGAGCTCTCTTGAAGTTCGAAGAAACACCAACTAAACTCAAATCTATCATAAAATAGTCACCTCCTTTTTGAGTACTTCTCCTCCAACGTTCTTATAAATGTTTGAAAGGACGGTATCAAAGAAAAGGTGTAGTTTTTCTTGTTTAGTGGTGTTGCTGAAACTGACGATGACAAAGTGTTTGAAGCGGGCTGATTGATAGTAGAACCTAATGACAATGATGACTAACATGAACTAACTATAAGATTCACGAGAGAATATTGACTTTTTTTTTTTAAATCCCATTAATATCATATTTCAAACCTAAAAACTAAATTAATCATATTTTTTTTTTTTTTTAAAATAGGGTGTCTAAACCAACTTACACATACTTCGATTAATCCCTGTAGGTGACTTACAACATCCATCACCTTGATCATTTGGTAAATCTTGAGAGCTAAAGAGATTTGAGCCTTAGGACCTTACGCGTTAACCACACCTATTAGCACTCGTCCTACCAATTAATACGATAATATTGCCATGCTAGTATCAAAGGATGATTCCGTTATCGATGTCACCTCGAAAACTACACCATGTAAAATAGAAAGAGTGCAAGTAGTTATATACTTATATGTCACATAAGTTTGGCTAGGAAAGAAGTACAAAATGCTTTTCCTAATGGTCATGCCCCCTTTGAAATGCCTAATCTAATTGACCCCCCATTATGAAATCCACTTTAAAGAAAGAAATAGTACAACCCCCCCATGCACCCTTTATTTCAAAATATGGTCACCATATTACTAATGATGAAGCTAACTTGATTTGAATTTTGTGAACATCTAAAACTCAAAGTCAAATTGCCACTTATATATTTTGGCACTTACATCAATCTTGCCTTATTTTTCTCCCTTCAATTCTAGTCATAAATAATGAGCTTATGGTGGTATAGTATATTATTTGTATAGTATATTATTGGTTCTCAAGATATTTTGTCACTATTTGGGTGTAGCTTTTAGGTTAGTTACACAAGTGATTTAATTTGTTTATGTATAAATATTATTATAATATATATTTAATTTGTTTTAGGTGATTTTAGTATATGTATATATAAAAAGAGTTGTTTACCTCAAGATTACTAAGAAAAATACATAATGTTGTGCTGCGATTTGCTACGTAAGATTTGTGATGAAGTCTACGTAGAAGTTTACATGAAACTCGTGATTTCGATGTTGGATCAATGGATGAATAAGAAATCAAACAATAACACAAGAAAAAAAAAAAAATTTGAGTGGTTCGTATGTTAGGTGCAAATTCTATGTCTATTGTTCTCATATTGCTTTTTGTGTTTTCTCTGCGCACAAGTACGGCTTACAAAGTATGAATCAAAACTAGACTCCTAATTTAGTAAAAAGTAAGCTTATACATTGTTACAACGACAAACTTGTAAATAAAGTTAACTTAAAAAGAATTACACGTGGTGTGAATCCATGCTTCAATGATTTACTACACAACTCATAATTTTCAATATATTGATATGATCAATTTTTCATTTGTTGTTTTAACGTGTGGTCTTACATACAAGTTAAAACAACTCATATAAAAATGGAGTTTTCTCTCTAACATAGTTCTTTCTTGATTTGAGCAGTATTTTATGACATAAAACTTTTTTTATTTAAGCAAAAGCCCGGAGAGGATTCTGATCCCGATAAAAACACTCATTTCTTTAAATCTCGAAAAATACTACGCTCACAACCTTTTCTCACAAACTTTCTCTTACAATTCTAACGTAATAGCTCGTCATTGGTTAACTCGCAAAGAGAAAAATGAGACTCATACAAGCAGGTGGGACCAATTATACAAGTTAACAAATGAAGAGCTGAAAAATAAGGATAAAAAAAAAAAATTTATGAGAAGATGTTGTTGGTGTAACATTACTCTTAAAACTCAACCCTTTCAAAACTACCCATCAATCTTATTTATTTGAGCAATAACTATACATAAGAGAAAGGATCAAAAGCAATAAATAAGGATCATAAATGGCTTCCTAGGCTCATATGCAAAGAATTAATGACAAATAAATACCAAGTAAATTCCCATTTAAAAAACAATAAATACCAAGTAAATTCCCATTTAAAAACAATATGTGTGTTTGTTTTATTATTTTGAGTAATATTTAAAAAATATTATTGTTAGGTTGAATTGGGTTATTATCACGAGGTCAGATTTGAAAATTAACAAAAACATCCTTACCCACTCACAGTTGCCAGATTCCAGCCACCACCACCGGGCTAGAATGTTGTTTCATTGCTCATGACCGGCCAGATCTGGCCGATCGTGCGTCGCTATGGTCTTTTTGGTGGATTTGGCCAAAAAAGGCTAGATCTATAGTTAGATTTGGTTGTTGATGACCAAAGATATGGTTATTGTTGACGATTAACGACGGCTATACATTAGCTGTCATTGACGATCAGATGTGGCCATGGATTTGGCCTTTTCTAGCCAGATCCACAGTGAATCTGGCCGGAAAAAGCCAGATTGGCGCACTACTAGACAGATCTAGCTGGTAGTGCGCCATTACGCTAGATTCAAGCCACCTTCCGGCGGTGGTTGCCGGAATCTGACAAATGTGGGTGGGTGAGGATGTTTTTATCAATTTATAAAACTTTTTTGTTGGAGTGTTTAATTAAATTAACAAATCTATGGGGATTTAAAATAGTTGAATAATATAGGATATGATTTTGAGAATAGAGAAACAAACATGCATTTTATTCATAATAGGGATAGAGTATTTTAAAAATAGTCAAACAAATGCACAATTGTATATATATATATCAAAATCTTCCAATTATGGACATTCTTGAAACTTTGGTTAGGTATCTTGCTTGGCCCCTCCAAAATTTGACCCTTATTTTACAATTATAGGAGCATGCCCAATTACACTTCTATCTCTTTGACAACATGAGGAAGTGCCTCATGGGCATTATTGTCACAAGTAAACTTTATATAATTAGAAAAAATAAAAAAAATATCTGCAAAGAAAATATGACACAAGTTATAAGCCATTGGATCAAAGCACTTTTAATGGCTGAGATTTAATATAATTTGCATAATTAATGCACCATATTTAGATGCAATCTCAACCATTCAAATACATCAATCTAACAACTCAAAAATTCTATGAAAACTTATGTAAAAAAAATGGGGCTCTTGAACTTTCCCCTTTATATATAAATTTTTGTCTTACTCATTTATTTTTGTATTTAATATGATTGGTGGTCGACGAATTGAATATCTATGTGATATGCATATATTGACTCGTGAGTCATGACCCACCCTTGGATAACTTAAGTGGTAAGACGAACGCTCGTGGTTAAGACACACAGTTTTAGGTTCGAATTTCTTTAACTCCCAAGATTTAAGCGGTATATATATTGACTAGCGTTATCGATATAACCAATGTTCTAAACCATGTTTACCAAAAAAAAAAAAAAAAATACAAATTAAAAAGGGGTATAAAGTAATTTCCCAAAATAGTAAAAAAGGAAAATTCCTTGTATGCAAGGTGAAGCTTAGTGGGTATTTTTGCTTTGGGGTCTCCTTAAAAGGAGCAAATGACTTCTAATGCAAGTGCTTTTAAGCAGTAGGAAAGAAAAGAAGAAGAAGAAGAACAAAGAAAAAATATATAAGGAAAAAAAGTTCCTTTCACTCTCTCTCTATCTCTCTTTTATCAACTTTGTATAGAGAGACTCAACAACACTCTACAAGTACAATACAAACAGCCATGTCTTTGGGCTACGCGGAGAAGCTCTCTTTTATAGAAGATGTGGGCAACGTTGGCATGACTGAATTCTTTGACTCACCTCAACTTCTTCAAGAAAAAGTTAGCTTTCTCACTCTTTTTCCCATTTGGGTTCTTGTTTCTGTTCCCCTTTTTTAATGTAGTTTTGTTTAGTTTCATGATTTTTTGTTGTGCTTGGAATGGTGCCGTTAATGTTACTTAGGTTTTAAAGGTTGGAAGTTTGGTTGAAGTATTGCTGCAATATGGGGTTTGAGAGTTTGCTTATTTGTGTATTGAGTTGTTTGTGGAGATCTGGCATCTGGGTATTGGCGTTTGTGATGATTAGAAGTGAGTTTGTGGGGTTGGAAATTTATGGCTTTTTTGTGTTGTTGTGGTGGTGGTTGTGGTGTGTTGATTGGAGTAATGTTGATTAATTGCAGGGAAGTTAGTGGAAATGTGTATTTGGGGAAATGTATTGACTTGAGAAATAAGTTGTGGTTGAAGAATTATATTGGACAGAATTGAATCATGCTTTGAGGGAAGCGTTGATTTGAGTATTGTTGATCAACTTTATGGAAGTTAATGGAAATGTGTATGTGGGGAGATGTATTGACTGAGACATAAGTTGTAGTCGAAGACTAATCATGGACTGAATTGAGTTATGCCTTGAGTCTTTGATTGTGAAAGAAATGCATTATAGGTTTGCTTGAGATTTTGCCTAATGTGGATCAAAAAGTGTTCTGTGCAGAGATGAGACTAGTGCATTGAATGGTTATGCTGTTTATATGTCTGCTATAGGTAATTACCTAAGGTAGAGCGGTTTTGTCTCCAGTTTTAGGTTCAGCTGGTTAGGTAATATGCAGTGAAGTATAATGAAAATAATTTAGTTACCCCCCACACAAAAAAGAAAAAAAAGAAAAAAAAAACAAAAAAAAAGTTAGGACGACACTATGCTTTCATAATTAGCTGTTTTCACTCAACATGCTTGTGGTTCTTCTCCAAGGTTTTTGATTCTCTGTAAATGAATGATATGTCATGCTTGCTTGTTATGTTAACCTCAGTGGTTTCATGTTGTGATGGCAGATTGAAAAGCTTGCCAAATTAATACAAAAGGTTTGAACACAATAACCTGCTTATGGTGGTGGTTATGGATGTTTATCTGCGATCATCACAATCAGCCTCTTTAAGTTTTTTGTTGTATTTGCAGAGTAAGCATCTAGTAGTGTTTACAGGTGCAGGAATATCTACTTCTTGCGGTATACCTGATTTTCGAGGTCCCAAGGGAATATGGACGCTACAGGTGAAAATTGTGAATTTTATTGCTCACATGAATTGAATGAAGCTCTTTTTGAGAGGAATATATATGTTTTATAATGATTTTCTCTTCAGTATTTTATAGAAATAATGGGATAGGCGTATGTGACAATTGTTGATGGGTCTGTTCAGTCGAGATCTATATAGGTGCACTTTTAGTTATTCCAGTTACAGATGGCTACTTCTGTATATATCTATGTTTTTGTCAAACCTATAAGTTGATGATGACATGTTATCATCCACTTGATTACAAACATCTGAATGGCAACCATTTTGAAAATCAGTGTGTTATGGATTTGAGCATTGTGCGGTTACGATGTTGAATGATGAAATTATCTGAAGTTTTATCTATTTCCTGCTTGTTCACTTTGTATGGCTCTTAGATTAATACATCTTTCATATATCTTATAAAGAAAAAAGAAGAAAAGTAATATGATAAAGTAGAAGAACTGAATATGATATAGTAAACAATAAGTTCTTTTTCAAGAAGCTTATGAAATTATATTGTAAATCATTCTCAATCACCAACAAGCTGTCTGCAAGTTAGTGTTGCTTGCATGGCTGTGCAGATGATCATTCTATGTTAACTTCTTTTGACATTTGTGTTCTTCTGATTTTCAAATATAGCGTGAAGGCAAACCCTTGCCTGAAGCATCCCTACCATTTCATCGCGAATGCGAGCATGACTCATATGGCTTTGGTTGAGTTAGAGAAGGCAGGCATTTTAAAGTTGTTTAGTCAGGTAGATCTTTGTTATTCCTTTCTTTAGGCTTATGCTGCATATTTTCTGCAGATAGCAGGACATCAAGTTTGATGATGGAGTCATTTATAACCTGCTGCCGATCATGTTAGTGTTTAGGTTTTCCATTGAGTTGGGAACGTGGTTGGGATGACATCAATCATCATTTATTGTACCACAGCCAATGACTCATTAATTCTTCAGACATGTAACATCTCAGCTTGGTTTTCTGATTCAGTATGTTATATTGCTTCAAATGTTAGAATATAGATGGTCTCCATCTTCGCTCTGGAATACCTAGAGAGAAACTTGCAGAATTGCATGGGGACTCCTTCATGGAGGCTTGTCCATCATGGGAAAGAGTAAGACATGATCTTTATTTGAAGCACATGTTCTAAATATATATGTAACCTTTCCTTACAAAAAATATTTTAAGTCCTTTTGTTGGTCAGTTTATATTCTGCTTTTGAAAAGCAATGACTTGTTTCAAGACTGCTGTTTCATTATTTGAAATTTGAAATATAATTATTAACTTTGAAGGTATTTTCGTGACTTTGAGGTGGAAACAATTGGATTAAAAGAACATCACGACGTTGCCTGAAAAAAATTGTGGAGGAAAACTTAAGGTACAGTTCTTGACTGGGAGGTAATTTGGTTGTCTTTTCTGAGACTGAAGGAATATATGTTCCTAGATGTGTTATCATTTAATCTGGTCATTTCTTCTGGTATCTATTGGTGAACTTCTTTCAATGAAGCATAGTAAATCAATCTTTTCCTTCATAGTTCTTTCTTATAAGCAAATTAAAACATAGTCAAATTGTGGAGCATTCGTTCAAATATTAAATTTTAATAGACATGAAGGGCTTAATAACGTAGCTTTCAATGTTAGCAAAATTCTTGGGACAAATTACTGATTTATGGTCCTGTTTTAGATCTTTAAAATCTTTCAATATTAAAATAATATATTTTGAAGAGGTCTCTCTCTGTGCAGGATGCGCTGCCTCCCAAGGAGATGAATCCAGCAGAAAGGCACTGTAGAAATGCTGATGTCGTACTATGTCTGGGAACTAGGTAGTAAAGATTCCCTGATTAATAGGTCTATGATTAGTTTGTTTAACTAGTCTTTATGTTGTGGTACCTGAATTAATATATGTGTAGCATATTAAAGACAAATGCAGATTTCTTTCGTATACTTACTTTGTATGTTGTTTGTTGCATGTTCTGCTCTATGGTCATAATGTGATTACTTATGCAGTTTGCAGATAACTCCTGCATGCAATCTGCCACTTAAATGTCTTCGTGGTGGGGGAAAGATTGTGATTGTGAATCTTCAGGTACTTGCTTTTTTTCTTAATTGCACATTTCCATTAACAGCTTTTGAAGCATTTTCTACTTATCAGATATGGAAAAGAAATATTTTGTTATCTAAATATGATCTCCCAATTATGCTATTATGCTTCGATGAGCCTCACATAAGAATTTAAGGGGGTACTCAATGAAGCCAGATATTGGACAAAAATAAATTTGCCCTTTGACTATGAGAATCCTCTCCCATAAATACCTTTAAGAGACTTATTTTACCACAATCGGGATTTATGTTTTTTTTGCATACTGAATAAACATATAAAAATCTGTTATATTATGAATATTGGAATGTTGCTTTTCTGGTGTTATAATATTTAAATAATATTCTGGTTATCTTTGATTTTGTGCTCAATTTACAGAAAACACCAAAGGACAAGAAAGCAAGTTTGGTGATCCACGGGTTTGTAGATAAGGTACTGTGGTTTGAACTTTGAAGTTCTTAGTGCCAAGAGATCTTAATTTCTCTATCTCCCTTCTTATTCGCCTTCATCCTCTCATGATTTATACTTTCACTACAGCTGAGCTTCTTCAAAATCCACTATATGCTTTATTAATTTGAACAAGAACAGGTTATTGCAGGAGTCATGGACTTGCTGAATTTGCGTATCCCTCCATATATCAGGATTGATCTTTTCCAGATCACTGTAACTCAATCCTTGAGTGCAGGTATGCTTTGCTAGGCTTGTGCTTGATATATCAACCATTCAGTCCAAGACACACCGTGTAACACGTATACATGAGTGTTATACATATGAGGCCATCCACTAGACATAATGCCTTTCTTGGAGTGTAAATGGGACCTTTGGTTCTCTATTAGATTTGCCAATAAAGCCTACCCTTTGGATTCACCAGCTTAAATGAGTCTCGTACCACATCCTGTGTAAACAATGTAGTGTAATCTGTAGCTCAAAATTTTGGATGTCTATAATTTAAGTATGAAAATGCGTCCTCAGCCATGTTTGAATGTGAGAACTTTTCAAGACCTTGAAAGAAGAACCTTTGCAAGCATCTCACCTTACTCAAATGAACTGGGCCAAGATTGGTGGCAATCTGAAACATATACCATAAAATTTATTTGTAATGTCTAGCAATTTTGGTTTCGTCTATTGCTTTCTCACATGGTTCATTCACTTGCATCACAGATAAAAAATTTGTTAACTGGACCATCCGAGTAGGAAGTGTGCATGGACAAAATGCGCCACTGTCATTCATCAAATCTGTGGAGGTAAATTCACTTTCAGACTACATTCTGATCATTTTCCTCCAAAATCAATGTATGAAGTCCTTTGATATGCGTCAAGGACTTTTTAATTTTACCAAAATTTATTCTGCGGTGGGCTTTAGTAATCAAGCAATAACTGGCTCTAAATGCTGATTTTACTAGTAACTGTCTACACTGGGTCACTTTATATTTTTTGTCTTGCTGCCTGTTTTAAGTGAGGCATTGCAATTGCCAATTCATTTTTTTTAAGCCTATTCTTCCAACTTTCTGCTTTATCTGCATCACAGGTTTCCTTCTCCGACAAGATAAAGTACAAACTAGCCAGTCTAGATAAGCAGCCGTTTCAGCTGAAGAGGTAACTTTAATCCTATTGGATGATACATGTAATGGGGATCGAAAATATGTCAATTAAAATTTTGTGTAGGACTGCAATACGGAAATTTTTTTCCACCATACTCAAATCCCAGCTAGGGAATATTATTTAGGTTACACAAGTGATGGGAATCAGACAAAGGTTAACTCAATGTTTAGCTTCTGTGAGAGTTAAACCATGGAAGTGTTCCCCATTCCACTTTATCATACATACAAAAATCTTATTGCTTTTAGCTTCTGTAACAAGTCTCCTTTCAAAATTGTGTTGTCCCAGTTCAAATTGAATTTTACCAAGCTGGTTAGAGTGTATGGAGAAGATGTAGTTGATTTCATCTGAGCGCATAATACTTTATTTACCTGGGAATCGTGAGCTTATCGATTTGAATTACTACTTTCTTAGCTTTGCTTTCCTAGTAAGGTCCAGTGGTTCGCATGTCATGGCATACATTTTATTCCAACTTACTTATCCTCTTGTTCTTTAATGTATATCAGGAGAACCATTACTACTGAAGTATTTGACATCATGTTGAAACTCAATTTTAGTGATGGTTGTGGTTGTCAGTGCACCCAAATCACTATCCCTTTTGATTTTAAGGTGAGAAGAGCGATTACTCTCAATTCATCAATTTTTTTAATTTATCCATTTAATCGTCGTCTATTATTCATCGTTATGTTAATCTTGATGGTAAAATTCAGCACAGCACTTGGAATAACAGGTTTTATCACTTGTGCAGGTTTCAGCGAAGAGTTTTGAACCTGACAAGGAGGAGATATTCCAAAAGCTAAGCGAGGCTGCAGTGGAAGAATTTCGGTGTGGGCAGAATTCACTCATTGAGAGGAAGGTTTTTTCATCCCCCAAAAGCGAGGCCACTGTCTATGCCATTGTAACCAACATCAAAGGTTTCGAATCTCATCCTCTGAGTAACAGCGATCTCAAATGGCAAAAGGGAAGTGTGAATGGTATTGAAACATCTCGGAAACGATCAAACAGTCGTAAGCGTAAATCACGACCATAGACAACAAAGGCTAGCGATTCGAGTTTTGTATATACGTTACTCTTCGTTAGAATGATTATAACTCACAGGTCACAACATATTTTGCTGAGTGAATTTTGTTAGATGTTACACTCAGTCTCCCCAGCTATGGAAAGGATACAGCCAGCTACTTGTTTCAACAGATTATGAATACATTTAGTTCTTCATAGCAGGCATTTCTCTATGTATAGTTTTAGTGATGACTAGGATCATTTCCTGATTGGAGCTCTTTTAAGTTTTTAAGGATCTCGTGACATATGCGTTTAAATTTACTTATGGTTGAATTAATTTTTTTTATTTTTGGGAACAATTGTCAGTCAAGCCCGTCTAATCTCCAGGGTTACGAAACATCTTACAAGTCCAATGGATCAAAGTAATTGCATTGTTTTAAAACTCAAACAGGAGGACAACCTGTTTTGGTGTCCGAGTCACGGGTCAACTGGTCTAATCGATTGGATCGATGAAATCTATGACAATTTTATTTTGAAAAAATTATATATTTATCTCTTAAATTTTAATATATTACAGAAATTTCCCTAAAAAGTTTAAAGTCGTCCTAAAGTTTTTATTTATTTCAAAAATACCCTTAAAAACTCAATTAATCCTTAAATTTTTGACATTTTTCCATAATACCCCTATAAAATTACAATTAACCCTTATAATTTTAAGAAATTACAAAAACCCCCTAAGACCTGAACCAGACTAGAAAAGCTGTCGGGTTCCGATCTAACCGACCGGTTCGATTCGGTTTTTAAAACAGAGAGTAATTGCACAAATGTAGTAGGTGTTTTTCTTGCAACTCGAACAAAAAGCCCTTAGATATAGCTTCTAGAAACCATAGATGTAAAATCTACTCTTTTGGAAACCTCATATGTAAAATCTTCTCTCATTTAATGAATGGATTGTAAGGAATCCATCTAAATAAGGTAAAACAATTACACCTACAAATTTAATTCTCTTTCCAAAAAGTCCACCTTCTCTTGTTCACATTTGAGTAATGCTTTACACATCAGAATTCGGGTAACGTTACTTCTTACATGTACCTTTGAATTACCGGCTACAAATTGTATCACTCCATTAATATTGTGTATTCGTGTTGATATTGTTAATATGATTCATTAAATCAACCATATTTGGATTGACTAAAATTTTATTATATTCCTACCCGACGTAACCTTGAGTCAAATACATTCTTTAACTGAAAAACATAAGGGCTATATATATATATATAAGTTAATAAAATAATCCTTTGAAGTTTAATTAAATAATAAAGTTTGTTTCCGTTACGCCTAAAAAATCAGGGTTGACGTAGACTTACGTCAATGAGAACCAATCAGAGTTCAGTAAGTTATTGTGCCGTCCAATAGCTGTCACCTCATCCAATGACAGAAAGAGTAAGATTGTCATCAGCTTGGCAGGTAAAAGTCTGGCAACTGAGTGGTTGGGACTTGGGAGTCACCCACTTGCCCAAGCCCTACGCGATTTAAGGATATCTTTCGTGCAACCGGCCAATGGAAAGTGGGGTAGGAACTGTACGGCACTTGCCCACTGGCAGACCCATAATCATTACCTAAAAACGTCTTACTATAAATAAAGAGTTCCCCTATCATTTTTCGGAATTCTAATTCTAATAATATAAACACTCTCTCTCTCCCTCTCTGTATTTCTGTTCTCTTTGATCGCTATATGTGACTTGATTATACTCTTTCATAAATAAAAAGACATTGGACGTAAGATTCGTTTTGAGCATTTAAACCACTTTAAAAATCGTCTCCCTTTTTATTTGTTTCATTTTTCAGTTCACGTGTAATTTTTAAGCGCTAATAGTTGATGTCAAAATCGAGTATCAACAGTTTCATAAACAACATGAGTCTCTTTGTTATTAAGTTTTTTGTGTTAAAATAAACAGTAAAAAGACAATTATGTAAATATTTATAAACTCAAAATATTGTAAGGTCTAACAACTCATTAGCAGTTCACTAATAATAGGGCATTTTTGTTATTTTAGAAACCTCGAAGAAAGTTTGTTATTCCATTGTACCTTTGGGGGTTGATGTTTTAATTTTTTTTTTTTTTTTAATCATAGTATATTCACTATATTGTACCGACAATGACAGAGCTCATTAATNGATATAGCTTCTAGAAACCATAGATGTAAAATCTAAGCTTCTGGAAACCTCATATGTAAAATCTTCTCTCATTTAATGAATGGATTGTAAGGAATCCATCTAAATAAGGTAAAACAATTACACCTACAAATTTAATTCTCTTTCCAAAAAGTCCACCTTCTCTTGTTCACATTTGAGTAATGCTTTACACATCAGAATTCGGGTAACGTTACTTCTTACATGTACCTTCGAATTACTGCCTACAAATTGTATCACTCGATTAATATTGTGTATTCGTGTTGATATTGTTAATATGATTCATTAAATCAACCATATTTGGATTGACTAAAATTTTGTTATATTTCTACCCGGCGTAACCTTGAGTCAAATACATTGTTTAACTGAAAAACATAAGGGTTATATATATATATATATATATATATATATATAATAATCCTTTGAAGTTAAATAATAAAAGTTTGTTTTTGGTATGCCTAAAAAATCAAGGCTTACGTCAGCAAGAACCAATCAGAGTTCAGGAAGGCATTGTGCTGTCTAACCACTGCCATGTTGTCCAAGGATAGAAGGAGTAAGACTGTCATCAGCTTGGCAGGTAAAGATCTGGCAACTGAGTGGCTGGGAGTCACCCACTTGTCCAAGCCCTGCGCGATTTAAGGATATCTTCTGTGCAACCAGCCAATGGGAAGCTGGGTAGGAACTATACGGCACCTGCCTGCTGGCAGACCCATAATCATTACCTAAAAACCTCTTACTATAAATAAAGAGCTCCCTTCTCATTTTTTAGAATTCTAATTCTGATAATATAAACACTCTCTCTCTCCCTCTCTGTATTTCTGTTCTCTTTGATTGCTACATGCGACCTGATTATACTCCTTTATAAATAAAAAGACAGTGAATATAAAATTTGTTTTGAGTATCCGAACTACTTTAAAAATCGTTTCCCTTTTTATTTGTTTCATTTTCCAGTTCACGTGTAATTTTTAAGTCTGCTTAGTACTTTGCACGTGCAAATAGTTTGTGTCAAAATCGAATATCAACAATTTCATAAACAACATAAGTCTCTTTGTTATTAAGTTTTTTTGTGTTAAAATAAACAGTAAAAAGACAATTATGTAAATATTTATAAACTCAAAATATTGTAAGGTCTAACAACTCATTAGCAGTTCACTAATAATAGGATATTTTTGTTATTTTAGAAACCTCGAAGGAAGTTTTGTTATTCCATCGTACCTTTGGGGGTTGATTGATTTTTTTTTTTTTTTTTTTTTTTTAATCATAGTACATTCACTATATTCAGTATATTGTACCGACAATGACAGAGCTCATTGATAGTTGGGTTGAATTGAAATTACACAAAAATTTCTCTTCACACCCTGGTGTTTATAAAATTATCAATGGGATGATAACTATGGCACTTTTAATCAACGTTCCCACGAACATCTTAAAAAATTATCGATTACATGCCACTTGTACCCGTTATGTATATTTTAATTATAAACAGTTTAATTAGGTATAAAATATATCTTGACAGTTATGTTTGACACGCGTCAATCATAATAAATCTTAGTAAATGAATCATGATCATATGAATTAGAACAAAACATAAGATTCGGTTTTGTCACTTCATTTAATGAACTATGAAAAAACATAATTTCTCACGATAAAATCACACCGATCCAATTTAGATAATGATAAATATCATTTTTTCGTCAAGAAACATATACGAGAAACTCGTGATACATAAGTTCTTCAATTATTCTTATATCTTTCAATTACTACAATTAAATAAAATATATATTTATTTAAACATTTTAAAGATTGAATTCATAAGAGCACCCTCACATATACATATATATATATATATATTTTTTTTTTTTTTAATTATGAAAACACAATAAATAATTTTTACCAAATAAACCCATAAAAATGCTCATAAATGAATTACAATAATGTATTCACAAAGTGACCCTATATTTAACCAAAGTTAATATATTCTTTGTCCCAACTCTCCATCTTTAGGAATCATTTAATTAGTCACTAATGCTTTAAATTGTAACTCTTTAAAACAAATCTGTTTATTTGATGTACAAACAAAGTATTATTCAAACTTGCTCGAGAAAAACCCTGATTTGACATTAGTGATTTATCACTAACAAGTCTCTAAAAATTAACTCGACCAATTGATAGGGTTATCTATTTAAATCATATATGGTAATTTTTTCTAGTATTATTTAGACTTCTTCGAGAAAATCCCTTATTTGGCATCTGAGAACACTTAGAAATCTTTATAAATTAACTCAGCCAATTGTGAATAGTGCACTTTTCAAGAGACGAAAGCCATAGAGAGGGTTAGCCTTAGCTTCTCTACATACAAATATCATAAACAAATTCAATTAGAAGAGAGATTAGTAGTTCAAAAATCAAATCCATGGAAGGTCAAGATGATGGATTCAATAGCTATCCCAACAAGCTTGCAAGAACAAGCTCTGGTATAAACTTCTTTCTCTTTTGCTTTTAATATGCTATGTTATTTAATTGATTTTTTGTCTTCATTTTTTTTTTTCATATGATTTTCATAAGATTTTATATATAAATTTCAAAATCAAGTATATTTCGACTAAGTTGTAATGAAAAAATACCATGATATTTTGGATGTCTTATTGAGTCTCATCTTGTTTTATTGAGCTTTTTCATTGTAACGGTTGGTGGGTTTCTTCTTTTTCTCTTATTCCTTTGATCATATATTATATTTATTTGATCTCTCTTATTTCGATATCTCGTGAGATATAATAATAAAGAATATTATTATATATCTTAAATATCTAAAAATCTTGTTTTAGATGATAATTAAATTATTTTTTCTTTGCCTTCATTAACTTGGTTTTCAAATAAAAAATAATATACAAAATCTCACATGTTTATTTTCAAAATACAATATTTAATCCCTTATTTTAAATTTTTCATTTCCAAAAAAAATTTTCCCTCAAGACTTTCTTGTGATAATAAATTTTCTATCTAAACAAACACAATTTATTTATTATTTATTATATTTTAAAAATTCGCAACACTTTCGACTTTGAGCCCAATAAAAGACCAAAGAATATCAACAGTGGTAGTGGTGGGGCCCACACCCTTGTGCTTGGCATGCCCTCCTGGCTGCCACGTTTGCCATGCAGAGTATGACGTGGCACTTCGATATTTCCTATGACAAAAGCTGAAAAAAGATGCTTCTAAAGTTTGTAACCGTCGTGGGTTTGGGTCCACCCAGATGTTTTCATTTGACACGTGGCGCCTGATCACGTGTTTATCTGTATGATAATCACATGGTGATGATGCAACTATCATGTGATGACCAAATCAACAAAAAGTCAAAAATATAAAATGAGCTCATGACGTGGCAGTGGATTCCACGTCATCCATCCAATGAGTTCAGCCGATTTGGCAAGCTCAGACCTCATGCAAAATTAATTTAAATTATTTAATTCTTATTATTTTATTGCTATATAAGGGCCTATACATTTACTACATTTTCTCACACATCTTCTTTGATTTCAGCCTTGCCCGTTCATCTGAGGGATGACTCCGCCGCCGAGGCCGCCACCCCCGCCTCCGCCACCGTAAATACCACCATCAACGATGATAACATCCGCAACGCTAAGAACAACGACAATAACCCTAGTGAACGACAAGAAGTCCCCGAACCACCGCCATGCATTACCCGCGATCACGACCGGTACTTGCCGCTAACCAACGTGACGCGCATCATGCGCCGAATACTCCCTCGCAATGCCAAGATATCCGACGATGCCAAGGAGGTCGTCCAAGAATGCGTCACGGAATACATTAGCTTCATTACCGGTGAAGCTAATGATCGTTGCCACCGTGAGCAGCGTAAGACCGTGACGCCCGAGGACCTTATCTGGGCCATGGGAAAGCTGGGCTTTGACAACTACGTTGAGCCTCTCACTCTCAACCTGAACCGCTATCGAGAGAGTGAGAGCCGGCGTACATCAATGCCCACACAGCCCACTCCAAGGCCCGACCTTCTGGATCATGGGCCGGTAGGGATGCCCGGGCCGTATGGGCCTGTTTATAACATGGGCTCCCAACAAGGCTTCTATGATCCCTCGACTGGGCTATACTTGAGGGACGACTCAGGTTCCGGTTCCGGTTCAAGTGTAAGTGGATCCTCCTTCCAGGCTGATTTAGATCCTTTTGCTCAATTCAAATGATATTGTAAATTGAAACTATTAATAGAAAAATTGGGATTATTGCCATATCGGTGTTCTTATTAAAGATTGAATTAGATAAATGGATGCATCCACCCACACAATCACTCACTCTTGAACTCACAGTTTTGTTTAACGGTCGATCGGATAAACCTTTCAGTGGTTGCCCTTATTAACAATAAAAAACGGGTAAACCCTCAGCTACCCTTATTAACAATCGAGGGGAATCGAACTCAAGATCTTTTAAACAATACACCCAGAGTCTCTATTACCCCATCTGACCACTCGGTATAATTTTGAGCTCACATTTTGGTTGATAGTTTTGTGCCTGCTCATGACCTCTTTATATACAAAGAGTGATACTATGGGTACTAACGGATGGGTACTAATCTGTGTACTAACTAAAACATAGTACCCGTATTATGTGTATAGTACCCGTACTATGCTTTAGTTAGTAGACAGATTAGTACCTATCCGTTAGTACCCAAAGTATTATTCATATACAAAATTGGGCTTGCATATACAAGAATAAAAAAACCAGTGTTGAAATGAAGTGAATGATGCATGGTTGTCACTTGTCAGTTTGGCAGCTTATAAATTTTCGTTGGACCAAGGGGTAATCCTCAAAATAATATGGTCAACAAAACCCTAATAACATATATGGTCAACAAAACCCTAATAAATATTAATAAATGTATGAGAGTAGCTTTTCCTGCATGGTGACATAATGCCAATGGTCTGGCAATGGAAAACACCTCACATTATAAGACCATCAACATCATAATGCATGCACGCAACGTGTCGCAATCACGAAGCATGCATCACGAGCACATAACACAAGTCCATGCATGCATCATGATGTGATCATCAATTGGCTTTCAGTTATATGACAGTTTCAACATCAGGCATGCAGGCCATGTGTTACAATGAAGAAGCATGCATGATGGTTGATGAGTCATATTGATGTGATCATCAATTGGGTTGCCGAATAAAGAAGGAAAGATGGTTAATGGGGTTTCACTGTCACCATACCTGGCAGAGTAATTGCAGAAATGCTTATATAGCTAAAACCTCTGATAAATTTGACAATTATACAATTCATTAAGCCATTACCATTTCTGGAAAAAGTTTCCATTTCTGCAGAAAACTGCCAGTTCTTGATGATGATGACGACTTGGACTTCCTACGTCTCTCTTTTATATAAAGAACAAATTCATTTCATTACTCAAATGAAGTTCTTAGCCGATACGTTTCTCTGATTTTTTGTTTATTTTTTTATTTTCTGTCATTTCATTNTCGAGAGAGTGAGAGCCGGCGTACATCAATGCCCACACAGCCCACTCCAAGGCGCGACCTTCTGGATCATGGGCCGGTAGGGATGCCTGGGCCGTATGGGCCTGTTTATAACATGGGCTCCCAACAAGGCTTCTATGATCCCTCGACTGGGCTATACTTGAGGGATGACTTAGGTTCCGGTTCCGGTTCAGGTGCAGGTGGATCCTCCTTCCAGGCTGATTTTGATCCGTTTGCTCAATTCAAATGATATTGTAAATTGAAACTATTAATAGAAAAATTGGAATTATTGCCATATTGGCGTTCTTATTAAAGATTGAATTAGATAAATGGATGCATCCACCCACACAATCACTCACTCTTGAACTCACAGTTTTGTTTAACGGTCGATCGGATAAACCTTTCAGTGGTTGCCCTTATTAACAATAAAAAACGGGTAAACCCTCAGCTACCCTTATTAACAATCGAGGGGAATCGAACTCAAGATCTTTTAAACAATACACCCAGAGTCTCTATTACCCCATCTGACCACTCGGTATAATTTTGAGCTCACATTTTGGTTGATAGTTTTGTGCCTGCTCATGACCTCTTTATATACAAAGAGTGATACTATGGGTACTAACGGATGGGTACTAATCTGTGTACTAACTAAAACATAGTACCCGTATTATGTGTATAGTACCCGTACTATGCTTTAGTTAGTAGACAGATTAGTACCTATCCGTTAGTACCCAAAGTATTATTCATATACAAAATTGGGCTTGCATATACAAGAATAAAAAAACCAGTGTTGAAATGAAGTGAATGATGCATGGTTGTCACTTGTCAGTTTGGCAGCTTATAAATTTTCGTTGGACCAAGGGGTAATCCTCAAAATAATATGGTCAACAAAACCCTAATAACATATATGGTCAACAAAACCCTAATAAATATTAATAAATGTATGAGAGTAGCTTTTCCTGCATGGTGATATAATGCCAATGGTCTGGCAATGGAAAACACCTCACATTATAAGACCATCAACATCATCATGCCTGCACGCAACGTGTCGCAATCAGGAAGCATGCATCACGAGCACATAACACAAGTCCATGCATGCATCATGATGTGATCATCAATTGGCTTTCAGTTATATGACAGTTTCAACATCAGGCATGCAGGCCATGTGTTACAATGAAGAAGCATGCATGATGGTTGATGAGTCATAGTGATGTGATCATCAATTGGGTTGCCAAATAAAGAAGGAAAGATGGTTAATGGGGTTTCACTGTCACCATACCTGGCAGAGTAATTGCAGAAATGCTAATATAGCTAAAACCTCTGATAAATTTGACAATTATACAATTCATTAAGCCATTACCATTTCTGGAAAAAGTTTCCATTTCTGCAGAAAACTGCCAGTTCTTGATGATGATGACGACTTGGACTTCCCACGTCACTCTTCTATATAAAGAACCAAATTCATTTCATTACTCAAATGAAGTTCTTAGCCGATACGTTTCTCTCATTTTTTGTTTATTTTTTTATTTTCTGTCATTTCGTTGGAGAAGAACATGATCAGGTACTGTGTATTATTCAAATGAATTTCTTGATAAGATCAAACTGTTGTTTTAAGAAGGCATGCGCATTGCTATATTTTAATATATATATATAGTTTTTTCTGGATCTGCTCTGTACTGACCAGGGTTCTTCCTCCATTGAAAATGGCGTCGGTATACGGTGTCTCTACCATTGCAATTGTCTGTCTCATGACAGGGGTTACCATATATAACTGGGAAGAAGAAGCTAAGGCTGGCCAGCCCTTAATGGTGGATGAGAATGAGATGGTAAGAAGATGTTGACAGAAGAGAGAGAGCACAACCCGCCATTGGCTAAAGAAAGTCTTTGCTCTTGTTGGGAGTGTGCTTTCTCTTCTTCTGTCATCATCATGTCCATCTTCTACATACACTCTTCTTCTATCAAACATAATATCAAGTCAAAGTAAGTTTTTCTTGAACCTGAAAACTAATAATCATTGGATTTTATATTATTTGTTTTTGGCATAAGCATTTTATGATTCAAAAGCTTTTACAAAAATATATGACTGGGAGAAAGAGATTAATGTAGAGATCATGAAAGAGGGTGTTGTTGAAATCTCTTTTTCACTAAAATGAGTTCCTATTTCTATCTTTGTATTATTGTTTTGGATTAAACAATGAAAATGTAGCCATCAATTCATAGACAGAAGTGAGAAAATGAAGCACCACAAGTATCAATAACTTGGCTTTGGGCTTGGCATTACAGGTAATATGTTCAGAGAATATAGATGTTGACTCTCTGAACATTATATTTTGTATCCAGTTTTAGCCACTGAAATTAATGGTCCCAATACCCTTTTACAGATAATTTCAGTATGGCTTTGCTCTGATCCTTGCAGCACACAGAGAGCTTATGTGTTCAGGAGTGTCTGTTTCAAGAAGAATAATTACCATATATAAAAAGCACTAGGGAGAATGTTCTGCCATTTTTTTTTTTTTTTTTTTGGTTTCTGTTTTTGGGGTTGTTTAGTCATGTGGAAAGATGAAGCTCAAATGGTTAGTCAATATAGTGATCTAAAAATTTTCAATGGAAAGAAGGCTCTATTTTTTATGACATATTATGATTCAATCTTTACAATTGCCTATAGAATTGTTAATGATGATTACTGAGGATATTTGTCCTTACTGTCCTTCCCACCTTAAAGAGAAGGAAAAAGAAAATGCAAAACATTCAAGTACTGAAAAACCTAAACAATTAAGTCTAAGTTTAAGTGCATTAAAGAGGAAATTTTCTGCTTATCCTAGAACTGTCTAAATTTAAGCATATTGAAGAGGAAGATTTCTACTTATCCTAGTACTGTATGACCAAAAGTACAGAAAGCACAGAAGCTAGCATAGAGAGCTTACAATGGTGTTCATGAATGTCTAGGTTAGAAGCCATGACCAATTTCAAAAACAATTTGCCAGATCTTCAATTGCTGTTATGAATATAGAGATAGAGATAGTACAGAGGGAAACTTGTTAGTTGGTTGTATGAGCTATGGCTGAGACCACATAGTTCAATAGAATAGCTTTGAACTCAGGCCACTGAACTCCTACAGTCTCTAATTGCTGAATCACAAACTAACCAGAATACAATGAAGGGAATACAAAATGAAAGAATCAAACAATCAAATTAAAAATTTTGCATAACTAAAGAATGGATGTTACGTCAGTCAATTTTATTAATCTGACCAGCGGTCGTCTTCATCCGAAACAATGTCCTCTAGTTTCAGTGACATGTCCCTGGAAAATGTGAGACTTGGCTTCATCTTAGGCACCATTACTGGTGCTGCCTCATTGTTCAAGATCTGAAGAACTCTTCTCATTGAAGGCCTCTCTGCACTATCTGGGTTCGCACAACTTAACCCCAGAAGTAACAGCTTCTTCATTTCTTCCTCATTAAACTCCCCATTCAATCTTTTGTCAGCTGCTTCAATGATCCTTCCCTCCGCATGCAATCCCCATACCCAGTCAACCAAATTCACCATTTTGTTACTATCTCCTTCCCTCTCTATTGGCCTTCTTCCACAAGCCACTTCAAGTACAACCACACCATAGCTGAAAACATCAGTCATATCAGTTGCTTTCCCATACTGAAGATACTCTGGCGCAAGGTATCCCATAGTTCCTGCTGTCAGCGTCGAAACTGGACTTTTATCATGATCCATCAGCCTTGCCAATCCGAAATCACCAAGCCTTGCATTGAAGTTTCCATCCAGCATAACATTGCTGGCCTTTATGTCTCTATGAATGACTTGCTGCTCACACTCTTGATGCAAGTAATTGAGAGCAGAAGCCAGTCCAACCACAATGTTAATCCTATTATACCAGCTCAATAACACTCCATGGTCAGGTTCTTGGTATAGAACCTTATCAAGGCTACCATTTGACATGAACTCATAAACAAGCAACAATTCACCCTTCTCAGAGCACCAACCAAGGAGCTGAACCAAATTCTTGTGCCTCAAGCAAGCTATAATGGATAATTCAGCAAGGAATTCAGTTTTACCTTCATGGGAATGCTTTGATCTTTTCACTGCAGCAATGGAACCTGTAGAGGCAAAGTAGGCCTTGTAAACATTCCCAAAAGAGCCGCGGCCTAAGATTCTACTCGAGTGAAACCCCCTTGTTGCTGAATGTAAGTCTTTGTAATTAAACTCTTTTGGTCCTGGCACAAGCTCTGCTTTTAGGCACATTCCTGGTCTCATACCCCTCCATTTCTTGACAGTAATGTAACCAAAAACTGCAAGAGCTACACAAAAGAAGGCTGGACCGGCAATTCCAAGACCTAAACCGACCTTATTGTGATGTTTACTTGTAGAATTTGATATAGGCAAATTAGGAACTGTATTCACTGAATTATCAGACACATTGTGAGGATGTGATCGCGGTCTCACCGGCTGGAACCCAAAAGTCTTGAAACTCCAATTCTGAATCAAGTGAAGCTCAGTACTCCCCTCAGTTGAAGCAGAGAACCCTACATACATAACCTCCTTTAGGTACTCAGAGAGGTCAATATCCACCCTTAACACCGGCTTTTCAGGCTTCGAAATCGAATAACTCATGAAAACTTGCAAGACCCTCAAATCATTCTTGTAATCAATCCAAACTGTGGTCAAATTGCCACTCTTTAAATCAATCCCTTGCAGGATTGGATCAGCAGTCTTGATTGAGTTAAGACTATTAATATCCAAACCAACATGGTTCTCATTTGGATCATTAAAATGAGCATCAAGCCTGGTATCAAACTCAATAGCCACAAATTTATTCTCAGTCAATTGTGAAGAATTCACAAGGCCAAGATACCCTCCAGGGCTGCCAAGAATCTGATCATCAGGAGAAATAAAAAAGGCTAAACCATCACCATAAGAACCCGGGTTCACATTATTGATAGAAAAAGTGAACTTCGTGTTAAAAGAAGCTGAACTGTTGGTTTCTTGATCAAAAAATGTAACTGGGTTGTTGTACACAAGAGTGCCAGAGCTTGAAGAAGGCACACCAAGCTCTCTTGTGAGGCCAATTACGCCGTTGCGAAGATAGGCGTCGCCGAGGAGCGTGAGGTTTCGGAGAGTCAAAGAAGGGAAATTGAAGCTGACATTGATAGCCAAGACAAGATTAAAGCTTAAGAAGTTGAGGAAGAAGAACAGTAACATGAAGAAATCAAGAAACTTTCTTGGAGGCATTGACTTTGTGGGGAACTTTAGTTACTTGTTTCTCAATCAAGTTGAAATTTTGGTGAGTGGAGATGATGAAGAAGATGCAAAATCACAAGGGTTTAGATTTTTTCCTTGAAGAGAGAGGTGTTTGGATAGTAGGAAAAAGGGCTTTCAAAGTTAGTGAGGTGTTTTAGTTGCCTCTTTTTCATGAAAGTTGAGAGTTTGATGAGAGGAGGTGATGAAGAAGAAGCAAAAAACACAAGGGTTTAGATCGTTTTCTTGGAGAGAGAGGTGTTTGGGTGGTGGGAAAACGGAAATGGGGTTTAAACGGTTGATAATAATGGGCGCGTGGGAGTGGGGAATTGAAGAAGAGAGAATTAACTAAAAAGACTTGTAACGGTTATCAAATACCAAGAAAACAAAAATATATGAGATAAAACGACGGCGTTTAAGTGGTGGAAGCATGTGGGTTTTTGTTTTTGTTAGGCGGACTTGGTCAGAGATCAGATGTGGTGGGTCACATGGAGAACTTTCTAAGGACACAAATTCAAAAATGACCGTTTTAGTGTCTTGTGTCTGGGCGTTTTTCCCCTTTTAATTATGTTACAATAAAACCCACATTCACACTCACCCACTAACAAATAACTACCCTAAATAATTAGAAAAAAAAATCTTAAATGTGTCATATATTACAAATCATTTGTTATATTATAATCAAGCCGATATTATCAAATTAATTATTATATTCGTGTAACATTACCTTAAATTACAGTACATCTTATCTATATAAGGTGACGTTTATTTTTTTTGTCAAGAAAATTGAATGTATATTTTATCTGAATACGTTTAAATATACTGGTCTCATTGATGAGTTTATTTTTTAAATTTTAATGTCTAATTATAATATTGAATTGTTTGTTTTTATATAATATAAATATCTTTAAACCAATGTTTTGAAACATATATTTATTAAGTATTATATAATTTTCCGTCAGGCTTTCGCTCATTGCAAAAATTTCCTCACTATTGTCCCCTATACAAGTATGAGCTGTGTTTTAGTTTTAGTCATTGTATTAAAACCCGGATCGGAGGTAACCCGTTTTGCTGCCCAGGTCACGGGTCAACCAGTTGGACCGATGACGTCAACAATAATTTTATTTTTAAAAAATTATATGTTAATCTCTTAAATTTTAATATATTACAAAAATTCCCTTAAAAAAGTTTAATAAGTCCCTAAATTTTTTATTTATTTAAAAAATACCCCAACAAATTACTACGTAATCCCTAAACTTTTGATATATCTCTAAAACACCCCTATAAAATTACAAAGTAACCCTTATAATTTTAAAATAGTATAAAAACCCCTTAAGACCTGAACCAGACTGGAGAAGCTATCGGGTCCCGGTCAGACTGATCCTGTTTTTAAAACAGAGATTTTAGTGTGACTGATCATCCTCTCGGACCAACTACTAATCATCACCTTGATAAACTATTAACTCATCAACTAGCTAATCAGACACAAATTCTTCCTTTCCTTCGATTCTAACATTCTTATACATAAATAATGAGTTGAGTTCTTATAGGCATTTTGAGCCCTTCTTTCGGCTACTCCACTTTATAAAATAAAATATACACAAGAATGATTAAGCCCTTCAATCTTCAAGGTATAAAGCTTCTCACTTTTCAAGAGTTCTCTTGAAGCGATGGATAATTAGAATCTTGTAAAAATCGATGCAAATGTAAGAATCATTTGAACAATCTTTTGTTACTTTCTAGTATTATATTATAAAACATTTTTCAATTTCAAATCTTAAAATAATGAACTAGCACGGCATATAGCCATATAGTATACCCCATTTGGTGGCGTTTCAGGTGGCACTAAATTTCACGGCCTATACTTTATTATCGTCCTTTTTTTTTTCATAAAAAAAGATGGCTAATAAAGAAGGGTGATGATGATTTTATGAGTCTTAAAGGCTTTGTTTGAATTGTTTTATACAGATTTGGAATCTAAACGGCAAAAGTTGGTCTGAAAACTTTGGATAAAGGGTCATTGAGATTTTGAGTGGAGAAAGCAATAATGTAATTGAATTCAATATAAAGAGGGAAAAAAAAAAAAAAAAACGCATGTTAGTGTTGGTCTGGTCGGTCCAAATTGAATAATTCATAGAGCCGTTATAACGATTAAATAATAATTTTACGTTTAGATCTCAGTCTGGCCAGCCTCGTTTTATCACAAGATAATGTGTTTAAACTTTTACTTAAACCTACCCAAGGTTTGGCGAAACTTTCAAAAAGTTTGAAAACAATAAATAAGTACCTTCTGTCATGTTCTGTTAGTGATTTCCGTTTGTTAATAATGAAAAGACTAGAATACCCTTTGAGAAGTATTAGTCTATTTTTTTAATTATTTTTAGACCCCTTAAGTTTATTAATTCATCAAATACGCCACAAAAAAAGTTTAAAATTTAACAAAAACACCCCCATCCACCTATACTTGCCAGATTTCGACAGTCGCCACCGAAAATGGCCTGTAATTCATCGATCTGTCACAACTGTCTACACCGCCACCGAAAATGGCCGGTAATTACTGATCTGGCCTTTTCAGGCCAGATGGAGTGTTACGGTCGTGGACGGCCAGATCTTACAGTAGATCTGGCCAGAAAATGCCATATCAAAGCCCTACGCACCAGATCCAACCGGTCTGTGGTGTAATGCAATTTTTCGGCTAGATTCTGGCGGTGGTGGCCGGAATCTGGCACTGCGAGTGATGGGGTTATTTTTGTCATTTTACAAAATTTTTATATATTGGGGTATTTAGTTAAATTAGCAAACCTAAGGGGTTTTTTAGAAATTTTTAAAAAACTAAAATATCGAACTTTCAAGGGCATTCTAGTCTTTTCACCATTAATAAACGAAAATCACTATCATCACATGACAGAAGGTACCTATTTGTTGTTTTCAATCGTCGTTTTGCCAAACCTTGGGTATGTGTAAGTCGTTTCCCCTAAACTTTATCGGTAAACTATATTCCACGCTGTTCATATGTGAATTACATTGTCACCCAAATTTCAAAATCAAAAACTAATAAAATCACTCATTTGCTTATCAAATTTGAGGTATAATTTTAATAATTAGGGATGATGTTATTGATATATAAAATGAACGGGTGAAATTATCGTTATACGTAAGTATTAAATTCGATATAAGAAACCCGAAAGAGGTATTCAAAACATTCTATTTTTTTAATCCTTGGAATTTCCTAGTTTCATATAATTTCAAAAACAATAATATTATACTTACAAAACTTTCTATACAAAATTTGATTACGAAAAAAGAATGAAACGAAAAATCAAACTCATTATACTTACTATTTCATTCATTTTTTATCACATTACTCCTTCAAAACACTCATCTTTTAGCTCTTTATATTGTTCAGGAAAAATCAGATTGTTTGAGAGAGCTGAGGTGAGTAAAACAGTGCTCATCAATCATCATGAAATTGATCAACAGCATTGCCAAAGATCACAGGAGTGTTTTCGTATTTGGCAGAGTCGATGAACGTATTCACGAAGGAAATGACCTTTACATTGAAATGAAAGAATCTATTGTAATTAATGAACAAAATATGGCAGAATAATAAATGGCTCTAGTCTGTCATAGTTAGGGCAGCCAAACCAACTCTCATGCGAACTCCCGACGGTTCAGACGGTTCATTCATCTCATCGTAGAGTTTTTTCAAAGTCTCTTGTTGTATTTCTTATCAAAAGATGCTTATTTAGCTTACCTTCGTTAACCCAAACGCATATTCAAATATTTGTCCTACATTCATGTTACAAATAAAGCATACAATGTAAGTGTGATACGATGTTCATTGGTAAAAATAAATAAATAAATAGATAACCCACTTTGTTTGAGCAAATTAAATTTTATAATGCTTTGGCTAGGAAGATATGAGCCATAGTTAGAAACTAGATACAATCAAAAGGTTCATGAGAGTTCATGAACTTGTTGAATTGTGTTAGATTCACGACATCTGAATTCAGACGTTATAGAGAATTATGTACATTTCTAAGTTCCCCCAAATATTCTCTGCTGATTTGCTTAATAAAAAAACGTACCTGGTCCTCAACTCTTCACAGTAAGTCGCCACAAAATCTGTCGCATAAAAAGATGACAAAAACAGTCAGTTGCTTCCAGTCTTAAAACAACAAAATGTAAGTGTTTTCTCACCAATTTTCTCACCCAAATGGACAGTAAATGGGAAACTGTACCTTTTATTGAGTCAACTGAACGCAGATTATGCATATTGGGAATCGAATGTGATCTAAGATCTAATATAATTTACATGTCCTTATCTTGGATGTGGCTGTTTTTTACGGGGCTGGAGTACTGCAAAAAGAAAATGTGATTTTGATTATTTAGCCGACCAGTAATGAAGTCCATAGCGATAGAGGGATCTATGAGCAGTACCTTCAATTACTCTGCAAAAACTTTGTCGGGGGAAAATCGTTTCTGGGTTTAGTTTTTGCTGGGAAGCAATGGCCTCCGCCACTCGATTTTTACTGCAGAAAGCAAGTGTAGATGTGAAAGGCCTCTCGACAAGTACACTCCTAAGAGCAGACATGATAAATTTCAGTAACATACCTGGCCCATGAAGGAATGAATTTAGTATTAGGTATGTCATCTTCGTCTTCATCTTCATCATCGGAACCTTTATATGGGGAAATGTCGTAAGATTCTTCCTGGTATTGGTTGGTACCAAGGTTGTGATCTTCTGCTGCTTTCTGTACTACATTGCTCATTACCTAGAAAAAGATTTGAAGCCTTAGCTGTGTGCATGATGCACTATGAATAATAATCCTTTTAAAACCAAGCATTCTAATAAATCTTTTACCTCTGTATTATCACCGTAACCAGTCGAAATCTTACAAACTTCAGGGACAATGCTAGCTTTCTCAGGCTTTCCCATTTCTTTTTCCTTTCTGTTATCCTTTCCTGTTTCATCCTTAGAAACCTTCATCTCATTTGCTCGCTCATCCTGTGATGGATGCCCAAAGTTAATCCTATCCCTAAAACAGCAAGCATGAAAAAAGATTTAAGTTTGGTTAGAATTTAAGTGATCTTACAATGGACCGGCCTTTCACTTCATTCTCTTTCTTCATGCGTAGCTTTTCCTCGTTTTCTCGCTGCTGCTTAAAAGATTCAACAAGACGCTTTCTTTTGCGCTCCTTCTCCTTTCTTTCTTCTTCTTCTCTCTGTCTCTTTCTGGCAGCCATTTCAGCTTCTTTCTTCTTTCGTTCCTCTTCTTTCTTTTTCTTCTGAGCTTCCACTTGCTTCAGATTTTCTTGCTCCAGTCTTGCTCGTACAGATTTCATGGCTTCCTTCTTCATCTTACGTTCATTCTCTTTCTCTTGTGCAAGACGCTTTGCGGCCTCAGCAGCCTCTAGGGCCTTCACTTTAACATCCCTCTTTCCTGGAAGGAAACACCGGAATGCTCAGGAGACATACACAGTCATTCAATCAAACAACCAATAACAATCGAAGTTCGGAAATGGTCAAGGCTGTAAACATAGTTAACCAGCCAACATCAAGAAATACTGTATAGGGAATACAAAATCATATTATCTGAAACTGGAATCAGTAATCTCGTAGATAAACTTAAATATGTAATAATATCTGTAGAAGTATAAGAAATTACCTGTGATAATTGCGGCTGCTTGTTTTCGTTGAACAAGCGGAATAAAGGAAGTGAGATTGGATACAATATTATTATGCTTAGTTTCCTTTTCTGCTAAACTTGGGCCTCCTTTTCTCAAACTGGGTTTTCCAGATACTTTTGGCTTACTGAACCTATTACGAACCGATTCTCTTAACCTGTAGGTACCCTTTTCTCCGGGTGCTATACTAGCGCTCACTTTCATCTTCTTTGTAAGTTGTTTCTTGCTGCTGTTATGGTGTTCAAGCTTCTGGTTGACCCTATTGCAAGTCCCAGTGAAGCTGTAATCTGTTTTTACAGATTCTATACTATCTCTAGCAGCAAATATCTCACCTCTAGAAACAGATGCTGGAAGGTTTGGATCTTCGGTGATGTCAGCAAGCGGTTCTCGTTTGACTGGGGAAATCACTTCTGAAGTTATGCCTTCTTGAAATGCATCAGCAACCTCATGTGTGTTCTCATTTTCTTCAATAATGCAGGGAAGCTCTGCATTTAAGCTACCTCGCTTCTCTGAACTTCCAGAGCTTGATGAAGTTCTATCCCATAGTTTCCCAACTGGAGATGTAAAAGGTTTCCTGATATCCCAGGCAGATTGAACACTAGAAAATGGTAAGCAATCAGAGTAGGATCTTCCTTCCAAAGCATTATTGACATCCACATCGAAGCTGCTGGACTTAAATTGCTTGCCTATATCATCAATCGTAAAAAAGTTGCTCCTCAGGTCACACTCTAGCAGCCCATTTGGAACTGACTGATATAAATTTGGCGCTCTCTGTAATTTATAAGTGGTAGAAAAATGGGATAGTGGAGTATGCATGGACGCAGATTTGCAAAGCCGCTCAAGTAAACTAGCACGTTCTATTGTAGATTTTGTTAGGTTCAATTCGTCGAAGTTAATGCTCTCTTCCGTGCATGATTGTTCATTATCTGTTTGCACAATGAAACCCTCAAACTCAGGAATGGCTTGGTCAGCATAGGTCAACTCCATGGATTTTCTACTTTTAAATTCAGCTGAACAGTATAGAAATTCACCATTTTCTTCCAGATGAGATTTCCTTTCCTGCTTGCCTCTTTCAGTACAGGTCAAGTTTTCAATATTTCCCGGTTCAAATTTAACATCAAGATGTGGTAAGACTTTATTCTCTTCCAGGGTGCACTGTTTACTTGAATCAGGAACACTAATTGGAACTGATACTCCTGCTTCCACATTTGAACACCCTTCAGAATCTCCAGTACCTTGATCGGCCAAACTTGAGATAAAGGGCACTTCTGATTCTTCTATTGCAAAGGTGAAAGGGGTGTGTGCACTTCTTTTCCTCTCTTCCAAGCAAAGCTCACCCTGTCAACCACAAAAATAATCATATATTCTTCATCAGAAGAGCTCAAACTCCAATAGAAACTAACAAGCATAATCTGTGAAAAACCTGCAGCAAGACTTTATTCTCTCCCATAGTGCACTGTTTACTTGAATTTAAGACACTGCTTGGATCTGTCTCTCCTGCTTCAACATTTGAACATCCTTTAGGATCTCCAGTAGCCTGATCGGCCAAACATGAGATAAAGGGCATTTCTGACTCTTCCTGTACAGAAGGGAAAGGGGTGCGTACATTTCTGTTTTTCTCATCCAAGCAAGGCTCACGCTGTACACCATAAAATTAAAACAGATATTCTTCATCAAAAGAGCTCAAACACCAATAGAAACAGACTAGTTCAGATTTTCAAACTATCTGACTGTTAGAATAAGATAAAAATACGTTATCAACAATCCATAGACAATCAACCAGCATTTAGCCCCCTCGATAATTGATTAACTAAGGTTTGTGTAAAAATGCAACCAAAACTCGACAATACAAGAAATAAACAACATAGTGATTGGATGAGAAGAACAGAA